GTAGATCACACGGTGAGACTGATCATGCTGATCCTACTCCTTCCTGCTTCTCCTTCACTGAGATTAAAGAAAGATGGTGTACCTAAAAGATTCCTTGAGAGAGGGAAAACATGAAGGGAGAAAGAAATTTCTTTTAATGCATGAATATTATACTCTAAAGAGTACAATGAGTTTCTATCAACGGTTAAACTTGGTAGATAAAACAAAGGCCAACAACATTCAAAGTTCACTACATACATCGTCTTTCATTTGTTGCAGGTGGGATCAGACTATACACACAAGCAGCAATAGCCAAATGGCAACATGTTTATTTCTACTGCCATGTTTCTGCTATACATTCATGTTTGCTCTATTGAGCAACTTTTAACTCTTCTAGAAACAGAATATGACCGATATCCCAATCATTTGCATTTGCATCAGAAGATGAGCTTTCTCATGCATTGTTTTGTTGAATCACTGGAAGTTTGTTGCCTGTACTTCAATTTAGTGACTAAACAGAACAATGGAAATACTTCAACTCCATACCACATAGTTAAGCTAGAAGCTTTGCCAGCTCATCTACTCCCAAGCTCCCATGTGGAACCACATCAGGAAGGATGTCTTGAAGATTGTCCCTCCGACAACTTCGGAAGTTCTTCTTACCACTAATTCTTGTATTAGAATCAGAGATGACTTCAACCTCTATATCTTGTTCCTCACTTTTGTCACTATTTTCTTGCTCAGTAGTTTGTACAGAAACTTTCTTAATTCTGTGCTGAAAGATCGGCCCAGGTGGAGCTGTCTTGGCAAGAGCCACTGACCTTTCATAGACAATATTGGCATCCAAACATGAATCATCCAAGATTACTGCAGTGCCACTGTCAACTGCCTGCCTCAGAAGAAGCATTACTCCCTCCAAACATGACCCACTAGGTAAACAATCGCTTTCTTCCATTTCCAACCCAACACTCTCTCCAGAAGCATTATCAAGTCTAGTACATCTGTCCATGTCATCATGCCTGGTTGGACCCACATGAACTGCGCTGTGTTCAGCTTTTTCTCCTAGATAAGATAAATGCTTACTTTCATCCTGAAACAACTCCTTCGAGCTATATTCAGCTCCTGAAGAAGAGATGTCATGGCAAATTGCAATTGAAGCATCCTGGTCAATTACCGTTGAAGAATTAGAGGTCTGGTGGACAACATCGTTTAGGCGGTTAGCAGTTTCTCTGGATAATTGGTCAATCTCTTCGGATTTGGACATACACTCAGTTTCTACCTCTCTTGGATGTTCATCGAAAGCCGCATCCTTGGTAGACAGACTGATGCAGGGTTCCTTGTTGGGACTTGTTCCAACCACTTGGTCCATTATGTCCTGATCAGTCGATAATGTATTGTTTGATGACCTGGAAGGAGCAGCTGTTGGGTCAGTGGTGATGTGTTCTGCAGCTTCATTGCTATTGTCTTCTTGTGGCAGAAGAGTTGATTTCCAATTTTTCCCTCTCCACATAAGTATATGCTCATATTCAAAAGAGAGCAGAACACATGGGACAAGATCCTATAAAATCAAGTCAAAAGATTGAAAGGTCTTACCAACAGATGAATGAGGAAAGATATAAAAGCTGGTAAAATCAACCAACCCGAAGTTTGGCACCAATTTTCCTGCAATCATGTGGGTTCATATCCTTACAATTAATACGGACAAGCTCACATGCTTCAAAGGCTTCTCGGACTTGCTTAACCAGCTTACAATACACACCATTTTTTCCTGTTTCAGGATGGAAGCACAATTAGCTCCTCTCCACTGAGCCATGGCTATAGCAAATCGATCTCAGGATAATACTAAACTATGTCGATCAAGACCTTCAAATTAATTTAAAACTAAAGGTTTCATCTTAGGCACAAACCTTGAAACAGAATAATCAACAAGAAAGTAACTAGTTCATAGCAACCAGAGATGGGTGTCTAGACAATAGCAGAAAGTTAAAAAAAAAGAAAGAAAAAAATATTACCGAGTTTACATATAGGAGGCAGCTGGCGCCCCTTCTTACGCATTTCTGTTGCTTCTTCCAAAGTTAAACCATCCGGTACACGTTGCACCAATCGTGGATATACAGGTGTGATAGGTTTCCAAAGCATAAGAGGATATCTGGGACGAGTCCTATAATTGTAATTTCGACCTCGAAACAGATAGATAACTCCCCCTTTAGTGTATATAATCTTCCCTCCAGTTTTCTCCTACAAGTTAACAACCAATTTTTAAAAAAATATAGGAAATTAATCAGGACAAGAAAATTGCAGCCTGTTAGATTTAATTACAAACTAAACCTGTGGCAGTGACATGCTAAGAGAGTTGATTCAATGTATTATTCAAAAGTTGGCAGAATAACTAAGTGCAGTTAAACAGTGAGACAATTCTATACATCTCAGATATTACTGTATACTCAGCTTGATTTGGATTGTGCCACTTATAGTTTCAATACCATACCAAAAAAAACACATTTTTCAACAAAACCAGATATTAGCCTTAAGTTTGCCAGTTATGGCACATGCTGTTAAAAATATGGAGTGCGTGTTTCGATGTTTTTCAGGATGTCCTTTTTCAATTGGCTACATAAAGGAACTTGAAAGAAATCCCAATGATACTATTCTTTTTCATCATATTGGAACTTTCTACTTAGAATTTTTTAATTCCATGCTGTACGTTTTGTCTTATTTTGAAAAACATTCTTCTGAAAAACAAATACCAACAAGAACAATCTCAACTTCCAAAAATTGAATATATTTTAAAATATTAAGCAAAATATCATGGTTTGCCTTACCAATCTATATCGGTGTACTAACTGGCTATCGATACGGTACATATAGAATTGTATTGATATACCAACACATGATACAGTGAGGCATATAAACAAACTGATATATACCACCTATACCAGTCCCCTATCGGACCGGTATGTACTATCTGTACTGAGTAGTATGGCGCAATACGATGAATCTTGCAATATACAATCATGACGTTGAATCTAAAATGATCTAACTGCATCCCATATTTATAATGACCTCCAGACAGATGCTTTTATTTTCAAGCATGTACAGAAAAAAAACAAGAAAAGTAATTCCAATGAAAGAGACAAACAACAGATGCCAAAAAACTTCATCATAGACTATTGAAATGCAGGATTCCAGTATGCATGTGATATCAGTCAGTGCTAGCAAGAGCAGGCAGATCACAATGCTTGTTATCTATATTTCAAGTTCATGCCATTGTCAGTCAGCATCAGCCCTATCCTAGCATCAATCTTCAATATACCAGAGATCACTGAAATGCAAAATCAAAACATAATATGCTAAAAAAGGAAGTTAAAGGATGACATAATGAATTATATTTTAAGTGCAGACCTCCAATTGCTGACGAACATTATCCATATCAACTGTGCAAACTCCTTTACATTTTATCTTGCACACCCTCCTCCTTTTCCAGTGAGCATGGATATTTTCCAACATGTTATGTGTCAAACCATCTCTACCTGCAAATAATTAACATTATATTTCACAAAGCTGGTGCTACTGGTACAAGAAATTGTATTAACCTTGAGAAGTTACCACAGTTTGAGATTTGATGAGAAAATATAACGATTCTGAATAATTTACTAGCCAGGATATATCATTGAAACAAGACTATAGCACCAAAACTATACCAGCGTACACCTTTGATTAAGAGCAACAACAAGTTCCTCAAAGTTTATTCCATCAAGAAAATAAAAGACCAGCACCAGATTTCACATAGTTTATTCTGTTAAAGAAATTTTTGAGTTGTATTTTGTTTCAATCACTAGTCTTCAAAAGAAAACCAAAGATGCAATATTTATAATGAAATAGCATTTCCTTCTGAATTCTCCCATAATCAAGAACTTACTATCAGGTTTAAAGTTTCAGTGACTGAGTTATAGTTAAGCCAAAAAGGTGAAATTTATCAGTATAGAACATATCCTACCTGTGTCTTTAAGTGGTAGCTGAGATTTTAACGATCAACAAAGTGAACAAACTATGATAGAGTCTATATATTATCCAAACATTATGATTACTTGTAGTCCTATTCACTTATGCCATGTCAGAATCTATTTACAAAAGTTATTACCAGTAGTCCACTATCAACAGCAACTTGATTCTAATGAAGACTTTTCCTCTTTCCTTCCTAATAGTTCATGATTCTGTAACCAAAAGAAGAATTCAAATCATCCATTAAGCAAAAAAAGAAGACAAGTTTGAGAACTCAAATTAAACAATTACCAACGTGCACACGAGGACAGAATGAGTAGGGTATATGACAAGTCATATGCAAACATGCGGGTAGTTTGAATTTTCACCTCCTTACACTTCCTTTTCAAGAAACTAAAAATCATAGTTATTTATATGAACCAAAAAAATCTAATACTTGTGACTGCAAGAGCTCATATATGTGATTATTTGACATATGTCATCAAATATTTCTTCCATTATCAATGAATCATGTGGTACCTAAAAATAGTAGAAAAGTATCTTGACATGGCAATGCTGTTACAAAATCCATTACAATTACTCCACACTATGAAGCCAAAAATTGAATGTCAAAAGTTTTGTACAAAAGACTTCCCATTCTTCAAATTTGTTCTCCATGTTGTCTAGACCTTGTTATTGGATCTTTTTCATCCAAGATTATGATTATAAGAAAGAAAAAATCCTTGAAACGTACCCATATTTAGTTGTCTTTTAGTCCTCAGACACCCCTTGATAAGCACCTTGATCTCCTCCGTCGTCAGCGGTTCTCCCAGTATCTCTTCCCTTGACGCAGCATGGTACTTCGGCTCAGAACCGGCCAAGAAAGGTCCAGGCGCCTGTATCGACTTCACCCCCTTCTTTCCCGGGGGCGGAAGCTGGAAAGAGTCGAACTCTGGCAGCTTCTTCTTGCTCGGTGGAAGTGGAGCCCGCCCAGTCCACGGCCTAGGCATGGTGGTCGGCCCGAACGGCAAGAACGGCGACTCCCGAAGGGCCAAAGGTTTGACCTTTGGAGTTTCAGTATAACTATACTGAAACTCAAAGGGCGCACCTTTGATCCGATATGCAATCCCATTCTCCCCCACGGAGATCCCCGACTCCTCATCCGGCTTCGGAGGGATTCTCGCCCTCGCGACACGGCGGAAAGCGGGATGGGAAGGGGAGGGAGGGGCCTTATGGTCGAGCGGGGGCTTGGAGTACTTGGAGGCTTTGCCAGGGATGGAGGGCCGCGAAGGGGCGGAAGGGGTGCCGCGAGACCTGAAATCTGCGGAGGGAGGAGGGGATTCGATGGCGGCACGATTTTCCTCGAAGTCCGCATCCTCGGCGATCCTGAGGGCGGACTGGTGGCGACGGTGGCGGCGGATGTCGTCCTCGATCTCCTTCTGCTCGCGGCGACGGCGGAGGAAGGGCTCGGCGTTGGCGTTGTTCCACCGGGAGAAGCGGAGCTCGGTGGAGGACGCCGGGCGGCGTGAGGGCGTGAGGTTGGGGTAGAAGAGGGGGATGGGAGCGGCGACCCTGAGCGCCATGGCTGGATGTGAGGTCGACCCCAGGCAAGGGAAGCGAAGGGTTATCCGCCGCTTGCTTGCTTCTTAGCGGATCACCGCTATAAGTTACCGGGTCCAAATCCGGTTTAAGTTACCAGAGACCCGATCCAGACCCGGTCTTGGCTTCAACGATAGATAACTAATGCGATAAGAGCTTGCTCGAGTAAATCTAAAAGCAAAAGCCCTCAAAGTAAAAGGATCCGTTGACATAATGGATTAATCACCCGAAAACAACCACATTAATTATATTTGCATCCATCCAAAGTCAAAGCCCAACAGTCGTAGCATTTCTAAGATCATTAATCTTCCTGGCACAAGATCACAAATTCTTTATCCGAGCAATCCGCAAACACCTTTTAACTGCAAAAAAACAAAAGAACAAGCCACACAAATTTTATGGAAACAAGATGCAAGGTGCAGCAGAGATCATGACTTCTGCTGTAAATTGTATTAGGTAAAAATGTCGAACAAGAGTACCCATATTTTCTATACAAGTAATAACTCAACTGAATGGAATTCCAACAAGGAATCCATTTGGTAAATCTAACTATGAACTTAATAAGGAATGCTCAATCCTACATCTATCCACCTTCCAGAACTGTCAACAGAAGAACAATTTTAAGTTGGGGCAAAAAGCTTGAAGTTGGCACCTGGTTCCGCAACAAATGGGTTGAAGAATCATGGCATCAAAACCACCCTCTCTGTCTCCCTTCCAATTTCTTGGCTGCAATCAACTTGTCTAAAGAATCATGTGAACTAGGAACAACAACGAATACTGGAGGCTTTTCACATTTCCATGCTGAAATCATCCAAGCCTGGCGGAGACATTGGTGGCATCGCACTCTCAACACCACCAACAATCTCCATGATCTTCCGTGCAGTTGCTTGAGCTTTAATCTTGTTGCCTCCTATCCTTCCTCTCTTAGATATACTGTCAATTGGATCTAGAATCACCGAAGATCTATTTTGAAGATTCTCGATGGGTGAAGTAGATTTCTGTTTGGATGATGCTTGAGCAGATGCAATGGCAGAGCTAAAAACACCAGATTCCCTCAGACTTTGGACAATAGCCTGAAGATTTGCAAAACAAACAACATTAAGCAGGAAACAATACTCAGATGCATTATAAGCACCATAAAGGACACAGAAAAAAAAGCCAAAGTACCATTGGAGCATATATGCGTGTCAAGATGCCCTTCCTGAGAAGCATGAGAGTTACCTGTTTATCACTCCACACAACATGTTCATTGTACCTATAGGAAATGAAAATCTTGAACACTTAAATAAACAAAAAGATGTTTCCAGCTAATAAATCACAGGCGGCTAGATGTTATTCTGGACTTGGCACACAAAAGTAAAAGAGAAAACATATTACTAGCAAATAGTTTATAAAGTAGCACACCAAGAAGAATGGTAAAACCCTAAAGAAACTAACCACAATCATCCAAATAATACTTCGCGATACCTGTACCTCCAGGAACTTGGAGGCAAACAAATTGAAGAAGGTTCTCTGACATAATAATTCAACAACCTTGAATCAACCTGATCAAACTCTAGTCCTATGAGTGATACTGCTGTATGCAGAGAGAGGACAAATGCAAACAAGATTTTCTGTTTAATGCCCAGCCACTTGCTGCTGTATGCAGTTAAGACTTTTGGTGTGTGCTTGTATGGTGTAATCACAAGGAAGTCATTCATGTATGATGATAACAATATTCTTAATTCAAATATTTGGTATTATTAATGCCATGGCAATCTGAACTCAAAGTCACATGCATATGTTGTCAACTCACAAATTTCTCATGTCAGTGGCACCAGCTAACATACAATGCACCATTAGGTTACTAGCATGGAACATGAAATCCACTGAGGCCTCACAAGAGCATATGTATCAACAAGTAAAATCATGATAAGAAGTTCAGATCCCAAACAGATGATGAGATATGCTTCCCTGCATATCAACCCTTGCTGCCACCATGGTCACTATGTTCCCAATCAAACCGGTGGCAATGGAACTCGTGCTCAAAATCTTAAAGATAGCTTAGTTCTGCCAGTCAATTACCAACCATGTAAATTTACATCATTAAAACCGACTACATTTCAGATCAATAAAATAAGAACTAGTGAACTTGTCTTGTCGAGTAGATCTAAGATTCTCAAGTAGTGAAGTACATTAGTCACAGGATGGGAATCTAAGCACATACTAGCAATCATCATAGGTTCATACCATGAGTAAGGATACGTATCTCTGGAAAAGAACAAACATTTAAAACAGATCTACTGCCCTAAGTAGTGAGTGACCAAACCCATCATGCTTCTTGGTGAAGACAAACCAATCTCTGATCTAAAGGATCATTCCCCATAGTCCTCCATAGACAAACTTTCAGCCCTCTGAGCTTGCTTCCCAACTCAGAAATTGATTATTTTTGCAAGTAAAATGGGAAGATTCAGACTATATTATGGCATTAACTCTAACGATTGGTCAGTTTCTAGATTGTACTCAAGTCAGGTATATGTAAATAGCTAAATGCATATTGTCCAAACAAATAAGGTGATTGAATAGTTTCTGTTAGCTCCATAAAAAGGGTAAGCAAAACATAAATTCTTGTTAGCTTAGGTGCAAACATTATCATTCCACCAGAAAGATGCATTTCAGGTAGGAAAAAATATTATGTTTGAAGTATCTTCCCATGAGATAGGTGCAAAGTTGTCACAGGATGCAAAATAGTTCGACAACTTATGCTCTATTATAAGTAATACCAAGAATTTAGAAATCCCCAGGAAAATGTTTGTCTCCAAAGATCTTTTTTCAAACAAACTGAACCTAAAGAAGTTCAGAAAATTACCAGCGCAACATTTCTTCTTCAGTTGCAGTTGATGCAATAATAAAAGCCTGCCATGAGAATATGGAATTTGCCATTTAGCCACACAAAAGTATAGCAACATATAAACAAATAACAAAAATGACCTTGTTTACATATGTAATGGACCGAGGGTGAAGATGCTACATTTCACCTCCAAAGTAGTTTTCATAGACCTTTTCCATACCAATTTATTTGCAGATAAAATCAATACTTGCTAGCAAATAAGTAATATCTACTGCCAAAGGTAGAGTCATTTTACAGCACATAAAGATCAAATACACTTCTGTGTGATATATTTAGTGATTGTTTCTACTTACACTCATGCCATTACTAGTGCTGCATACAAGCATGAAATACTGACATGCATGGTCTGAGAGCAATTATGCTTACACTGAGCTAGGGACAGGAAGAACCACACAATTCATACAATTAGAATACATTTCTAACTTATGTAGGTAATATATGACTTATGGGCAGAACAATCAAAAGATAAATTAAAATAAACTCAAGCCATAATTGAAAGTTACCAATATGTAAATGGAAGTAGAGTGGCAATGGTCAAGGCTACCTTTGAGAAGACTGTGATGTAATGGTAAAGTAAGCTGTACAGGTAAAACACTCACAGCTCTGTCAAAATCCAACATGAAGCATCTCTTGACATCCTCCTTTGTTGGTTTGCAGCCACACCGGTCACGTCGAGATGTCAAATCTGAGAACTTTGTATATGTGTAATGCAGGACGGCAGCATCTTCAAACTTGATCTCACTATAAAAAAAGGGGTTGTTTTAAAAGGGATACTGCTTAAATTGCCCAAGAGATTAAATCCTCAAATAAAAATGTGATTCTTGTCACTGCAAGGCCAGCAGGGTTTGGCTCAAGTTGAGCATCACTGTGTGAACCAAACTTCGTAGTTTGAAAAGGTCAGAACGGACTGAAAATATATTGAAGCAAGCATCTTACTGTGGGGCCTTCATGTAGTTATGCCATCTATGTGCACCATTAGGGCGAAGATGATTCTGAATCCGTGCAGCTGATTTTCCATTTCCATAAGTAAGAAAGTAATTTGGGTTACCGTGTGATGCCTCTTTATACAAACCAAAATATGTTTCTTTTGGTAGATGATCATAATTCTTCTTGAACATAGACACCTACGCAGAAAAATAGAACACGGAATGAGATGGCAACATGCCTGAGTTTTTAAGTTTCATTGGCAAGGGTTATACAAAATGAGCATTCATGCACCTTTCTAAGATAAATTTGTGAAATAATTGCATTATTTGCAGCATAATGTTATTGTATCGAGAAAGGTTTAGATGAAAATCTGATGTAGAACCCAAATACAAAGCGCCAGATAAATTGTATTGGGCAAAGAAAGGGTAAAGACACGATGTAAGAAGTGAAGTGAAAAAAGGGGTTACCCTGGGGATGAGCCATAGGGGCCTGGTATATAAAATTGGGGAAGGATTTTAAATAAGATCATATCAGTTCATTTCTCTTTAGGAGTAATGGCCACAAAATGTTTACATGGCTACAACTAAAGAGTAACATCATGATAAATATATTAAATATGAAGGAAGAAGGAAGCACCATCTACCTCACTGAAAGGATCTTTGATGTCATCCCGCTCAATGGTACTTTCCTGGAACAGACATTATCAGAGATACAATAGATCACCATCATTTATTATGAAATAGCTATCCACTTACATAATTTGGAAAGACAACCATGTCCACGTTGGCAGGAACATCAGAAAGCAAACTAGTTAAAGAGTATTCTTGGGCACCAGCTGGATGCAGTAACTCATCAGTATCGAGATGTATGATCCAGTCCATGCCAGCATTCTTTACACAGAAGAAAAGAATGTTAACTACTGGAGGAGACAAGAGTTAATTATTCTTAAAGTTTATAAGTGCTGTAGCAAGCCTATAATAAAAATCAACTTAATCTGTTCAAAATTTAAAGTTAAAACAAATGCAAGCAAAAAAAATGTCAACCGGGTTACTGCCTTCCACAGCAAACATGTTTAACATCAAAATAACAACAGAATCGAACATACTTGTGCCATCACTATCGCCATCTCCATATTAAGTGATTGCTTGACAAAGAGTTCGTAATTACAAGGCTTGTAGAAGAAGGCTGCCAACCAAGTCTCATTCCAGATACGACTGCAGAATAGATGGAAAATGAAACTTAGCCATTGTTTTAAAACTCAATGCAAAACAATGTGCAACAAATATTTTCACAAGTTTCTAAAGCTTGAAAAAGAATTCATGCTGCTATGAACTTTTACACATGGTAGATGCTTTACAACCAACAGTTTTGACTTTAGAGAATGAAATTATTAGTGATGACTGATGACAAAGAACGAAATGAGAAAATATCTCCAGGCAGAAAAGAAAAGGTCACCAGAAAGGAAAAATCTCCAATCCATAGAGGAAAAATGCTTAGGGTAAATTTTATCGTCAAGTGACTCGGAACAACAAATGACTATTGCTGTAAGGTAAAACTTTTTTAATTGAATATCGCTAAGCTTTCTTTTGAGATTTTATTAAGTTCAAACATCAAGTCTCTACATAACATTTTATGCTCATAAAGATAATTTGTCATTTACACCAAAAAAAAGACAGTAAATCTCATTTGAATATGAGCAAAATAGTGATTAAGATAAGAAAGCAAAAAATCTTATATACTGGCAAGTTTTCATTAAAAAAAAGAATAACTATAATAGTTGTTTATTATGCTCTTTAAATAGCACATCCATACTGGTAAAAACCTATACAACAATAGCCAATATCAAGGCATTTTGGTGAGGCATTAAACTCAGGCTTCTAGATGAATAAACTCTAACTAGATGCTTGATAGTTATCAATTGAGCAGAAACTGATTTCAGTGGATTGTGGTACTGGATATTAGACAAAAATGCCTCAAATGCTTAACACAAAATTATAATTTCCTCTTACTTTTTCCCCATGCTATAATAAGTTCTTGCAATTGTTTGATACCTTTCTGAGAATAAAGAGCCAAAGAAGGGGTAATAAAACCAACCTCTTTGCCTGTTTTTCCTCGAGTTCTCTAGTTCTGTATATCAGTTTTACCCCCTGTCAATTCAAAAACTCAACACCAAGAATCACAGCATCTTGAATAAATTAAAAGTAGAGGAGGCCCTTGGGATTCATGAGAATCTTCCTATAATATCAGTAACTAGAAAGAGAGATTAACTTACGGGTATGGCTTCAAGGACAGCAGAAAGATGAGGTTTTGCAGCCTTTCCTTCAACAAACAGGAAAAACTGTGATACACCGAGGACCTTGTGATAAAACAACCAGGGTATGATCTGCTCTAAACCGGCAGAAGTGCTTGTTGTTATACATATCTGTGAATCATATACAGATTCCCACAATTAGAGGCACAAACAGCTTGACTCCAGCACAGTAAAATCCTTCCGGTCTATAGTCAACGATTTGGCAGCAAATGCAACAGAACGCGGATAAACAAATTAACAAGATTAACCGAAATATGAACAAGTAATCATTTGACGGAGATCCTTTCCCTCAGAGTTTTGACGGCAAAACAGGAGGACGATTCGTGAATCTATCCACACACACACCAAATCCATCTCCCCAAGTCAAACATGATCCCAAAACCATTCAGAAGCGCTAGAGATCTCACCTTCGGCTTCAGATCCTTGCCCAAATTAAAATTCCAACCGCGGTAGTAAGGGAAAGACGGCGACGAGCTCCGGCCGAGGATGTCCGCGCAATCCGCGGCGGATGAACCAAGGTGGCTGTCGTTGTTGCTGTCCATCACAGGGAACATCTGGGCGTCGGCGGCGGGCCACCGCGAGGTCAGATCGTCGACGCCGCCGCGCCACTGAAGGACGAACGCGAAGGAGGCGAGCGCCAAGGGGAGCACCGTGAGGAGGAGGAGGGCTCGCGAGATGAAGCCCTGGTGCGGGGCGGAGGACGCCACCGGCGGCCGGCGGAGCGCGCCGTGGCCCGCCATTGGATCGATTGAATTGACGAGGCGCAAATGCGGGCGAACAAAGAAGAAAAAAAACACTAATAAATAGTAACTAAATTAAAATCATTTCTTTGGGGAGAAGAGAATGGGTCGGTTTGTGGTGATCCGCCGGAATATTTATAGTACTAACAGAAACCACACGAGAAGTATGCATTCCTACTTACAAAGGTAAAAGTCGATGAGAAAACCTTTCAAATGTGATTTTTATTGGACTGTGCGCATACAAAAAAAATGATTTGGTTCTAATCAATAAGTTTAAACATCAGATCTCTCTTATATTCAAAAGTATTTTTTGAGATCAAATGATCCCTTCTCAATGAGTTAATAATTTTTTGATTTATAATTTTTTTTTCACAACATATAGATAATTAAACTTTTGTTAATGCAAGTAATATCTAATTTATTTTTACTTGACTAGTTAGCTTTGCTGCTGATCTTTTCTAAGAGAATATATAATATTTCTTGATCGTTTTTGGGTGCAATACTTTGCTTTTTTCTTTCGTATGATCATGTCAAAACAATTTTTTCTACTCGAAGAAAAGGCACTCATGTCCAAAAATTGATATGAAAAAGGAAAAAAAGAGAGAGACAAATCTATGGCAATATTCTCTTTCTTCTATGGAAGGGAAGGGATGCCTTTTCAGCTGCGGCTCTGTTTTCCTGCACGACAGAGTCATAGAGGAAGTTGCTCATCGAATTCTGATGAGGCGAGAGAAAGCAATTCCTCTCGCATGATCCGACAGAATCAAACTGAGCAGTTGTTCGGACGTCTAAGAACTGAACTCTGCTCGCCACATTTTGACTTGGACAAACAGAGCTGCAAAGATGATGGTTTTACAGGGCAGAGGATTGAACAAAGCATGAGGCAAGCTCCACAAAGTCAACGGCAGCTCTGGATTCGAGTGTTTTCTGCGGTGATCTCTCAAAATCAAGAGGGACTGACTGACTCTACAAGGATGAGTCGCCTCTATCTATCTACTCTGCGTCATATTTCTATCTATGCCAAGAATTCAACAAATACTTGCAATCTAGAAGAGGATTCGAGTGTGATGATGAAGAAGAAGAAGCAACCTCAGACCATTTAATTGCCAGGAGAACATTTAACTCTCCGCCGAATACTTTTCCTCATCAAACCACTCATGTCGAACAATAAATACATCACCATATCAGTATCGACAAGTCGAAGAAACAAGCAAAACCTGGATCTTTCTTCTCCGGAGAGAACATATCATGTATGATTTGATCCGCGACCTGATGGGCATACGATCGATCAGTCTTTTAGATGTTTGTCAGCAACAAATAACAGTTGTATTAGCCATTAGAACCATATGATCTCAGATTCTCTTTTGAGCAACACAACATTATTATTACGGCCGGAATTCTAATGTGTGTGTTTGAACGAATCAGAACCGTTCATCGAATAGTTCGATAGGATACGGGTGAGAACAAACGACGTTGCGATGGGGAGGGAACAATTAGATACGATCGGGATTTCAATATTTAGTGACACGAATTTGGATCGTTCGTCGAATAGCTCGACTAGATTTTGGTGAGAATATACTGCGTCGCGATGTGAGAATGGCTCACCGGTAAGTGACGTGATCGGATGGAAAATTTATATCTCTAGGGAACGCGTGATGCTCGATTTTTTTTTGAAGGAGATGCGAAGTAAGACATGTATAGGCTACGTTTGAAAATGTGTTTTTATTTTTAATATATATTTAGAAAAAAAAATAATTGTGTTTATTTTGAGTGTTTAGTGCATTTAGATAAAATAAATTTGAGTCGACATGTAGTTATGAAATAGGACTAATTACATATTAGCCATTATAGTTAGGGCTTTTAGTATCTCGATTTTTATATTTTAAGAATTTTATATTGGCGTCGTTATAATTACGAAAGTGAAACATTTAGGTATATTTATCCTAACGTCATCGATTTTATCAATAAAAATATAAAAATAAAAAGTAAAAAAATAATTTTAATATTTTAATTGGTGGTTGTTAGCGGTGGACGGTGGCATCATTAGGGATCATCGATGACTATTGTGAATGAAAAGAACGACGATGAGAAATGATGATCGCTCTATATCTACGTCGATACTAATGTAATTATTGAGTGATCCTTTCGTTGCTTTATAACTATTGTGTCGACGTCGACGTAGTTGATGAGCGATAACTAATAAATAGATAAATTTATGTAATCTTATAAGAAAATTTTGTATGACCTAAATATATAATAAATAAAAATATAATCATATAAAATAAAATATATTTTTTTAAAAAAATAAATAGATAAAAAACTTCTTCTTATAAAAATATATAAATCATATTGATTTTTGAATAAATTATTTTGATAATCTTATAATTTCAGATAAAATCATAAGATAATTTAAAATTTTAAAAATTTATGTTAGCATCTTATAAAAATACTAATGTTATTCCGAGGTAACATCAACATTTGAACATTTCTAATGTAGCATTTAGATCAAGTGTGATTTGAAAAATATGTATTCACTTTCAATAATATTAAAATATTGAAAAGATAAATTTCTCACAAAATATTCAATAGACTTTTAAAATATAATTTTATCTAGCAATACTTACCTCAATATACATTTAAAATATATTTTTTATTTGTTGTTTACCAAATACTTGGAGCATTACATAAGTACATATTCACTCAAATCCCTTTCTCCAAATATATATTAAAATATTAATATGATAAATAGCAATCTATGTTCCAAATCAAGAACGCTATATGATGATGATTCAACACCAACGATACAACATATGCAAAAAGTAAGAAACAATTTCTTATCAGATGGTCATAAGTAAGACCTAAATTAAGAAGTAAAATACCAAAAGATTAAAAAAAGATAATGATAAGAGACCACTCGATTCTCGAACAAGAATCCAATATACTTATAATAAACTAATCCACACTAAAGGCAAAGAAGAGGAGGGGAGGAAACACATAAACTGAGAAGGAATAGAGTTTTCTTTTTGGTAACTGACCTAAGAAGTGGCAAGAGCGGAGTCGTATACGACGATCCAAAGCGAAGGGGAGAAGCTGAGGGGGAATAATTAGATGCGATCGGGATTCTAATATATAGTCGAACGAGTCAGAACTGTTCATCAAATAGCTTGATAGGATTCGCGGTGGAAGGGAAAACAATTAGATACTGAGATTATTTTATGTAATTAGTTAACTTTAACATCCTTCTTATATTTTTAAAAATTATAGTAACATATCTATAATTATACAAATAAAATATCTAGATCTATTTATCATAATACTATTAGTTTTACTATATAAAATATAAAAAATAAATAATAAAAAGATAATTTTAATGTTTCAATTTGTGGTGATGGATGATATCGGTGGTAGCAGATGACGTCGTCGTTAGAGGCCATAGGTAGTTATTATAAATGAAAAGAACAATAACGAGAGATGAGACTTGTTCTGCATTTATGTCGACACCGACATAATTGTTGAGCGACTCTTTCGTTGCTATGTATTTACATTTGCATCGATGCGGTTATTGAATGATTCTCAGTTCTTACCATTGCTTTCATTATCTATAATAGTCACTCGTGGTCCCTAATGATGCTGTCATCTGCCATCATCTACTAGAACATTAAAATTATTTTTATATTTTTTTATAAAATTAAAATTATTAGGATAAATAAATCTAGATATTTTATTTTTAAAGTGTAAGGATCGAGATACTAAAGAACTAACTATGGGATATAATTTATAATAAACCTTCAAGATTCTAATATTTAGATATACTAATTTAAATTATCTATCGAATAGTTCGATTAGATAGATTAGATTCTCGATTCTCAACGTCTTATAATTAATATTTTAAAATAATTTTAAAAAAATATAAAAAAAACTAATTTTGATATTTTTATATGTTTAATAGTTTTAATTAAAAATATTTTTTAAAATATGTTAATTAGTTGAATTATTTATACAGATTTTTAGGGGGTATATATATATATATATATATATATATATATATATATATATATATATAATGTGTGTTAAATTCAGCATTGGATGTAGAGTGATATTTACAATTTTCTCCCGAGTCGGTGTGTTCAACCCCAAGCGGCCGCCTCGATGCCACCGTCGTGGTGGTGGACTTGATTTGTCGCGTTTCACCTGAGAAGGAAACGGACGCACGGGGAAGCGGAGAGCTGATAAGATTCGCAGACTGGGAGAGGCGAGAGTGAGAGAAAATGGAAGGAGGAAGCGTTGGGTCCGCTCCTGCGCCGCCGCCGCTGCACCCTGCGATAGCCCCTCTCTCGTATCTTCTGGGTAGGTGGAGAGGGCAAGGCGAGGGCGGATTTCCCACCATCAATTCCTTCGCCTACGGCGAGGAACTCATTTTCTCCCATTCCGGAAAGGTAACTTCTCTCCTTTCTCTCTGTGTGTTGCTCGTTCTTAACATGATCTCTGTCGAACAGCCTGTGATAGCGTATAGCCAGAAGACATGGAAGCTGGCGTCGGGCGAGCCCATGCACGCGGAGAGCGGGTACTGGCGCCCCAAGCCCGACGGCTCCATCGAAGTCGTCATCGCTCAAAGCACCGGCCTTGCCGAAGTTCAGGTACTCAATTTGGTCTCTTATGTTCCCTGCTTCCATCGAGTTCAAGAGATCGAGGAGGAACATTGACTCTCTGGTTGCTTACGGTACTGTTGATCTTAGATGTAAAGGTTACCAAACGATTTGTTAGCATCTACGAATTCTCCCAATCGAGTGTGTCAAATCAGATCTGCAAAGCTGGAGGATGATAATCTCCACAATTTGTTGTGATGAAAGTGAATAAAAAAGGAGCTGATAAAGTGCATGTTTAGCAACTGATGAATACTATGTGGAAAATGAGGAATTTCGAGTATAAATTAAGAGGAGAAGGAAAAAGGAAATTAGTACTGAGGCTCGAAGGGACGTTGGCAAAGTTGGAAGACTTCTTATAGGGTATGCTCCATTGCTGCTAGATTTAATTTGTGAGGCTAGTGTGACATTGCAGGCAAATGTTAAGATCTGACCATTGCCTGATGAAATCTACTTACTAATAGTTCTCTCATGGCTAGCTCTTGTTGCTGGTGGAGCTTGGCATATCTTGATACAAATCTTTGGCCTACTCGAGAATCTTCATTGACAGGGAAAAATCTGGGAGTTCTTTTCTTATGTGTGTGCATGCATCTCATGAGATCTCAATGCTGACAAAAGATCCATTTATCAGACCCCGTTTGTTGTTAATCTTTTTTCTAGCAATCATATTGCACATTTAATTAATGCATAAAACACTGATTTGTATGTTGATGATTGTTCTTTTGTTAACAATATATGACAATGTCAGTTTTCTTATTGGCATCTCGTGTGTGTGTTGTGATTTTGCAGAAGGGTACTTATGATGCCGAAAATAGGATTGTGACACTTCAAAGTGAACTTGTCGGGAATGCATCAAAGGTATTCTGCAACAGTCAATTACATAATCATTTATTGGTCAGCAAATAACTATTACAATCTATTTTTGTCCATTTGCATTCTCCTTGAACTATGCTCTACTGGAAGTAGTTGTATTAAGTAGGTATACATAATTCTATGTGCAGTAAATGTTTTCATTCTATTCTGTGTTGAAATGCTACCATAGGTTACAAAGGAAAAAGTTAGCTGCAAACAGTATCTGATAAATTTACAGTAGAAAACCGGATGAGACAAAAATCTAGAAGCATTCATGAAGTTCCTTTTGGGACACTCCTTCAGTCAATTACAATTTCTTGATGAGAGTATAGATCTCCTCCAAATTGTGAATTCCATTCCATATTTTCTTTTCTTTATAAACCTGCTCTGAGATGCTCCGTAGTAGCAGCTACGATCCACTCGATGGGAGAATACTGGGGTCTTAAGTATGTTAGTTTGGTCCTTTGACTTCTATTCTCGATGCGATCATGGTAAAAAAACCTTTGCCATGCAGGTGAAGGAGATAACAAGGGTTTTCAAGGTGGTTAATGGTGAGCTTTCATATGTTGTTCAGATGGCCACAGTGATCACTAGTCTTCAGCCACATTTAAAAGCCTTGCTCAAGAAGGTCTGATTTCCATGACCAACCAATCGAGAGTGAAATAAAATCAAAGCTCTGATACAGCTGTTTTACTTCATGTTGTGTGAATTTAGACATCAGTATTAGAAGACGGCTTCGTGATGTCGTTGAACCTTGTACAATCATTTTCATTGCGATCACAATAAGTGACTGCAGAAACAGACTCTTCTTTCTTTTCAATGTTATCCAGTCTGGATTTGTGGCCTTGCTCCATGGTCTAGTTTGATGCTTAATTATAACACGCCGTGTTGAGCTGCCGGCACTAGATAAAATATGCAAAAAAGGGGTCTGGCCATGGAATAATGATAATGGTCTAATATCTACTGGAATGTGTTTAATCTCTGCCTTGATTGTAGAGATTGTGTTGTATTCCAATGCCTGAGGTCACTCAAGTCATCCTCCATGTTCCTGTTGTATACATGTTTGTGGATTTCTCACAGCCAGGAAAAGGTAAAGGAGCAGAAAGCTTAGAGCTTGAGCATGCAGCTAATAAGTACAGCTGACTTCCAACAAAGCCAGCATCTGCTTGATTGATATAGGATGGAACATTGCAAGCTAATAGTAAAATAGGAAAGCAGGGCTCATGGTAATCCTTAACTTCCCAATTTACAATGTGTTAGCTTTCATACTTGTAGTGTTGGCAATAGATGCATGTCAGAAAATAGAGTGAAAATTCTATATTTAATCAGGAAAGCAAGCATTAACCCCAGAAAAGATGGAAGCTTCTTATTTGCTCAATTCATGGCAGCTCAAGTATCAGTACGAATGTATCTCAACATACAATTACAGAAGAGCATCAAAGTATCAGATGGGCAAGACATCATAAACAGTTTCATGGGAACAAGTTGCACATTATGGTCACGGCTTTCAGCTACAGAGATTGGGCATGCAAACTCCAGCATCATTGTTCTGCTGCTCCTTCCATATCCGACCAGTGACCCTCAGCTTCAGCTCTTTCCTCTCTCCACCAGAGAAGAAGAGTGCCATGTTTCTCTGTATGATGAGCCCATCATGACTGTCACGGACTTTGCGATGACTGTCACGGATGCTCCGAGGTGTACCTTCCCATATTAGCTTCCTTCCATTGACCCCAACTTCAAGACTGTAGCTGAAATTTCTGGCTTCATTCTCATCACCCATGAAGCGCAGAAATGCCATGTACACAGGAGCCATCCCTAGCTGGAAGGCCTCAAAGTGCAAGCAGAAGTACTGCCCAAAGCAGTTAAAGACCTGAACAGCCAATGGTATGCAAATGAATGAATATATGTATGTATACAAGGGAGGACATATTCCCACAAACACATGATGCACATCACTAATTATGGAATGAGATCTCAGGTAAAATTTAAGTAGAGGTCATATCCATCAATGCGGTTGTTTTGACAGCCATGAATCTTTTTCACTATTCTCAGGAAGGAGTGCGACTTCCCAATCTAACTGAATCCATTTCCTAGTTGATGAATGCCGAATTTGACATTAGATAATGGAAATGAAATGTGGAGAAAGATCAAAGAACTGCAGAATATTTCTATGAAAATGTGCAGTTTGAGCAGTAAGGCAAGTATATGTGCTTACAGTGAGCATCCATGTGGCGTTTTCAACTTCTCGTGGATTGGATTTAACATATCGATGATTGAACGTGCAGCCAGTGTGCATGTCAACTTTGTGGTCATCTCTTAAATGTGTAACCAGGGAAGGAATATCACCCACGACCGAGCATTCAGATCCAGCATATGGGCAACTATATGGTCTATAGTTGCACTGAGATTCATGTTTCAATTTGCTGTAGTATGGAAAGATTTCAGGGCATCCAAGTGAGTAATATTTGCAGGGAAGCTCAAGCGATTCGGCCACCTTTTCCAGTGCTAGACACCTGATATCTCCAAGCTCTTGTCGACATGTAGGGCATCGGTTGTGCACCCTTGTTTTGCATGTTGAACAGAGTGTATGCCCATTTTGGCACTGCAAAAATAAGCTACTTTTGAGACACAATCTTGTTGTAGATGCAAAGGACATGGTTTTTTTTTTGTAGGTGATGATGCTATGCTTACTGGAATCGTGGAATCATTGAATAACCAGCAAAAACGTTACAAAAAAATTGCTAAAATCATGATGATGCTACCCTGAGAATCTAAAATCATGTTCTTCTTCTGGATCAGTAATGAGAAATCCAGAATTAACTGTAGCCAAAACATTAACATGGAAGTGCCATAAGATTGTGAAACAGGAATGTCAAAAAGAATTGTAGTACAGATAAATTTATCCCATAGGATGCTCAGTGCCATATAATGGATTTCACATTCGTCAACTTATTCTGCCAATGCCCATAAAGTCAATATTGGTTTGCTTTGTCTGATCATTAGGAGGATATATATATATATATATATATATAGAGAGAGAGAGAGAGAGAGAGAGAGAGAGAGAGAGAGAGAGTAAATTGGAAAAATAATAAAAGACATATATCTTTGAAACTTATTTCAAAAAGCAAGTGTCTAGCATGTGCAATACTAGAGTTTCAAAACTGAATCATAGCTACTTTATCCTCTTTATGCAATAATTTTTTTATCAGCAATTCAATAAGTTCTGTCAACTAATTGTGCTCTTATGGAAAAATAACTGCCTAAATCAGTATAAATAGCCATTCATGATGATTATCTACGTCAGCCAATCCTATGCATCTTGTTGAATTTTCAAGGCACCAATTTTGACCACCATGCCAGTCACTCTAGCTTAATCATAATTCCTTTTGACTACAAACCACTCTTTGGGTATGTGTGACAAATTCATTATCTCTTCTCAAATGACATTATGTTTCTTTTCCTATAAAAAATAATTTGATACATCACTAATTCATAGTCAACAAATTTTCAAAAATAGTTGAATATTGAACCTCCATTGCACATGCCACATTGCTGGTACCTAATTAGAATAATGACTAGATGTTGATGGGCATCCTATTTGATAAGAAGGACTGTCTGTTTATTAGATGATAAGCGTGTTTAGTCCGACATCGGTTGATGAGTAGGGGAGTCAAAGCCTTCTAAGTGCCAAAGTCGCTCTAAATCTCTAACCTTAAGGGGCATTGACGATCACACTTGATCAATAGATAAGAGAGATCCTTGCCATAATCACAAGTACAAATTGAAGCTCAGCAGAAAGAACAATGCTTACTCATAAAATTTGGAAAATGAATGGCTTTGAAGACCAACAATGAGACAGAATGTTATTGGACATTTGAATTGCCATGAAGATGCCAATTTTCCCATCTTCATAAACGAGATGTTCAGTCAACAAAGACATGTTTCAATATACTAGATTCAAAAGCTTCATAACTTTTCATGCAACTGCAATGTATACCGAGTTGGATAACTACAGGGAATGAATCTAAAAAATTCTATAAAGCAAATATCATAATTACAAAAAAAATTTGCCCAAAAGGTTACATTCCAAGTATTAGGAAAATAAGAGCCACATTCAAGACAGCATTTAGCTGCAGAGTTGAGACAAGAAAGTTATACAACTGTCTATTAAAAAGAAAAATAATCAATAAAGTTAATAAAAGAAGAACCCCTACCAAGCCACAGATTTAGCTAGAGGAATGCGACATTTAACTGACAAATGTCAAAGTAAATATGCAGCTAACTATTCCCGGAACATGCAACAATGTATTAGTTACAAGAATCGGAAAGTTCTTTAGAGCATCCTGTCAGCTTTGCCATCAAACGATAATTATAAAGGCCTCATAATGACAAGAGGCAAAGGCCAGAACAAAAGGGACAAAGAAACAATAATGTCAGATCAACTTTATTCAGATGGAGACTCGTCACATTCTTTTCTGAACTTCTTCAGGGGCTATGCCAAAGTGACAATAACAAATCAACTAATCAGCCAATCGGAATTAGAATTCCAGGGCCTCAAACTTCAACAAAGACTCGTGCATAAGATGAGCCAATTCAACCAATGATGATGGATTATATATTAGTTTCAAGACGACAACTAAATTGCAGGATATGAACAACAATTTCTTTTATAGACCTCAAAGTAATAGAAATTCCAAATCACAATTCCACGGCATCAAAGAGAACCAAGACTCGGATCATCGAAATCTTTCGACAAATACATATCAGCGATTATCCACTGTCTAAAAAGAACAAATCATCCGTATAAGCACGAGGAGTCAAATTATGAATTTTTACTGTAGAATCGCATGTTGTGTCACCGGAATAACGAAAGAGATGAGAAACTACAAATGAAAAGCCCATAAAAACGACAGATTTGCCCCAATTGCTTCGCCCAAAATACAATAGCCAACAAGATTGCTGCTCTAACCAAAATCCAGATATTAAATGCCATAATAAGCTAAGAAAATCGAAAATCGCCACAAATTAAGTGATAATAAGGAAAAGTGATCAACCTGATGAATTGGGGGGTACATAGAGTTGGTGCAGACGGGGCACTCGAGCAGCTCGTGGACGCTGGTGGAGGGGACGATCCCGGCGGGAGGCGCAGCGCCTCCGTGGGACTTCGAGGAGTGGTGGGGAAGGGAGGTCGCCTCCTCATCTATCCCGTCGATCGACGACACGCATTCGATGCTATCCGACTCCATGCATCCGGCGGCGAGGTATTCCGGTCCTCGCACCTCACCTGTCCGCTCTTCGTTCTTGAGCTGGAAAGGGGGAAAACCAAAAGAAAAGGAGCGGCGTGCAAGGAATAAAGGGGCGACGGAGAACGAGACAGAGAGCAACCGGAGCGAGAGGGGAAGAGAGAGAGAAGGTGGACGAGGTGCCTTTCTTGGTCTTTGGTCCGGATTACCAGGCGTGACGAGATCACCGTCGTTCGCTAGAGCAATCAATACCTTTCGGAACCTTCTGCGAGCCGCCCGATCGATTACCTGCCTTGTGACTGCACAAACCACATGGGACCCGCATGACCCGTCACAATCACTCGAATAAGCCAGTAGAAATTACGAACACTGTCCCGCCAGTTATCCTTGGTCCGGATACCTCCGGTGACGGGATCACCGGTTTAACTAGAAAACAACCTTAACAACCCGTTTGTGCGTCACGCTAGCCAACTACCTCCCTTGTAATTGGAAATATCCATAGGGACCCACGTAGTTCCCATCCACGCCATCAATTATTCTCGTTAAAGAATAACAGATAGTTGGATAAGGTGGGAGAGACAGCGAAACCTTTTCCTTTCTCTCGTGTTTTGGGCATGTATACGAATGAGTATATAATTAGAGGATACATTATATGATAGACTTTGACCCATATTTTGTCGTTGCAAACACGAAAGTAAACGTCAACAAAAATGACATAAGAAGATAAAAATATATAGACGTTTCCAATAATAGAATTGACAGTCAAGTCAACTTTAAACGTCAACAAAAATGACATAAGACAAAAATATATATCCGTTTTCAATTATAGAAATGACAGTCAAGTCAACTATAGAAAGGACGGTCGGTTTACAAAGTACCTCTTAATGAAAACCACGCTAAATATTGAATGCTCTGAAACAAGAATCCAAAAGAACCAAGTATATAGCACTGTATGATTCAATTAGTAGAAACCCCATGTCTTGAATGACAAACATGAACTTGATTCACTGAAACAGCTTGGAGATACGGTTTGCCATCTAGTTTATACAAACTGATCATCTCGCACAGGGATAAAGAAGTGCAAGAGTACTCGAGAACTCAGAAGGAAAACAAAACAGCAAGCTATTCAGGGACTAACATTTGTGTCACCGACTACTAGCTTAAGGAATCCATGGGCAAAAATCAAAACTGACATTGAAGAACTCATTATCCAACAGCCAACAGGGGTCTCAGACATAGTAGCCAGTGAAAGTGAATCCTCTTCCAACTATCTCACCAACACAGAACCATGCATACAACTCGAGCCCAAATAATGCTGCAATGCCAGCATCCTCAATTTTGAGATCCTCTCTGTTTCTCCATATGTGCTTCACACCATCAAGCTCCTTCCAAAATGATTCATAACGACCAGGGATGCTGTAATTGAAAGATGTCAGTACTGGCACATATTTGACACTTTGTCCATCTCGTAGGATAACATCTAAAAAGATGGTTTACATGACATGCATTGTTGAAAAAGGACTGTCTCAAACAAAACAAGCATAATCAACTTTGATTTTATAGCTTTGAATGACAGCAGAGCAACCGACCATGATCGCAACCTCTCCCGTGGAACACACCATCCCACGAATTAAGGGGGAAGCACTTGTCTTTGGGCATGCTAATTTGGACTTTGGAGAAGGCAGCCTAACTGGAAGGTAACAGTATACACATATTGCTTATTAGTGGCAGGCTTCTTGTTGTTCTTGAATATGAATTTGCCAAGAATCTGAAGTCAATTAAAAATTTTTGTGTTTGGTTCATGGTTACAGTAACCAGGTGTAGTTATCCTATCACGGCTAGCTTATTTTAATTTTTCATTTTTCTTCGATTGCTTACCAATCAAACCAAGTTATCTGGAGTAAGGATTAATTCTAAATAACCCTATCAAATGGGCTTTCTTTAACCTGGTTGGTTGAATAAAAGTCATTTTGACCAGATTATTTTGACCTTCCCCAACTCTTTAAACCACATTTCATTAGTGGCTAAAACTTACAAGTTAAATCATCCTAACCCTGCTATCTAACTTTAACCCTATTTTTTGCCTGGTTGCTAAACGAAAACCATCTGGGTCAACAAAGAGTGTGTTTGGCAGGTTAAACCAATAACCACAACTTAAAAGACTTAATTCATCCCAAGTTATCTGGGCTGACAGGATTAAATTTGGCCTTCCTTAACCCTATTGTTGTGGCGGGTTAAACCACTAATCACCAGTTAACCCTTTTAACTCTAAACCACAAGCAAGCAATTTCCTCACAAAAGATGTCACTTGGGATAATTTTCATAACTCACAACATAAACCTAAGCAAGGATAATACATTTAGCTTACTAGTTTTATAGTACCTAAAATTAGTAGAGTAATATACAGCTTATACAAGGTAAGCAAGATTCTTAACAAACATCAGGCACAACAAGCTGCATCAGGGGAACAAGGTAACTCCTTGGATATCTCATCAAGGAAATAAGTCACCGAGCTGAATTATGAATTCCACCACTAAATTCAGAGAAAGATCCTACCACATGCTATGTTCAGAGAAACAGAAACTTACTGTTGACAAGGCAAGTGACTACGGCAGAAAAACCAAGCCAACGCTGTTAGTCTTTGGGTATTCAGTGTTTTTATGCTTGAAATAGATTTAAACTATACATAACTATCGTACATTCTTACACTTCAGCTCCTGGAATAACCTACATCCATCTTGTTTAAGAATAGTTACGGCCAACACCAACCTTACAGTACATTTATCCGAAAATAAGATAGAAATTATCCCCAAACTTGTCATTTTGTTTAGGATGACTTAAAAACGCAGCAAAAACAACATAGCGTGGATGTTAAGCCAAACCTTGCAAGCCGTGTGTAAAAGAGCTGTTTTGAGAGCTCTTGGCACTTCTCGACGGTTGGTGGTTGAACAATATGCTGCTTGTTCTTCTCCAAAAGCTCCTTATAGTATGCGCATCCGTGCTTAGCCACAAACTCCGAGGCTTGGACAGCCTTAGATCGAAGCTGATGCAGTTTCGATGCCATCCACCAAAACAAGTCCACGCCACAAAATAAAAATCTGTTTTCTTCAGCCAGTCATTTCAAGAACGATACGAATGACGTAAATTAATCATGGTAAAATTAGTCATGGCATGTCATAAAGATCTAAAGACCCAGAGGCACATTAACCGTGTCAGCTCAAATATACATTTTCAGATCGATACCGAAAGAATCCAGAAAAAAAGAAAGAAAACAAGAGTAAAATCCAATGGAATCGATCGAGACCCCTACAATTAGAATGAAAATTGGAAGGACAATTGAGAAACATATCAGGGAAGAAGAATCCCTGGGTCCGACTACACAATCAGGTACAAAGATATCAGGAAAACAGTCCCAGTTAGAGATCGAAAGCTTTTCCATCAACAAATGAAGCACAAAGATGGGACTCACCTCTCGATCGACCGGCGAAGAGATCAGACACTGGAGTGGCGACAAAGTACGAGGACTAGGGTGGAAGCATGGAATGGGCGTCCGCTATTAATATTGGCTCCGATGTGAGTAATTTCGTAAATTAATGCACATATTAGGGCTTTCTGTGACACATTAGTATCCTTCTGTACGAATCCCCAAAGGCCTTTCCCTATGTTCTTCTCCGCCCGTGACCTAATTCAAACGGAACTTCCTCCCCTGCGGGACCCGCAAGCTTGTTTGGTGTAAGCTCGGCGAGTAAAACGCGCGAGTGGCAAAAAGAAACCTTCATTTCGCAGCCTCGAGTGTTGGTATGGGCACCGCCCGAGCGCACGTTAGCAACCTGTACTTGTTTCTGGCAACCCAACGGCGCACGTTAGAAGCTAGCGCGGGCGGGTTCTAAAAACCTTTCGGAGCCGTGACAAAAACCCTAATCCGAACTCCAAAAATTCCCCCCCAAAAGGATCGACAAAATTAGGGCTAGGGTTTGCATCATCCTTAATTCCTGAAATCTGTGTGCCCTATGGATTCGATCATCGTTGAATCGCGAACAGCAGCTGAGTCGTCTCTCCACTTCGGTCCTCTCGCCGGCTCCGGCTTCTACTCCATGCTTAAAGAATCCGTCGACAGGTTCCTGGTTGAAGTCCAGAGGGAGACCTGCGACTTCGCTGCCTTCCGTTCGATCTTCTTCCGTCTGCTTCAGTCCAGCGTCGATCCCCCTCTGGAGGTCATCTGGTTCTACTCCGCCCTTGGCTACCACGAAGCGATCAGGCTAAAAAAAGACGCCCTCGATCGAGTATCCGCTGTGAGAGACCTTCTCCAGCTGCTCTCGGCTTGCTCTGCTTCGTGTGATGGCCCAAAGTCCGTGGCTTTGCTCGCTCCCGTTGTTTCAGAGCTGTATCATTGTGTAAAAGAGGAAAAGAAGATGTCTGGAAAGGTGGCGAAGAAGTTGAGGAAGGAGATAGGGGGTTTGGTGGAGGCTCTTGTCAGCTATATTAGCATTTGTAGCGGACAGAGTTCTGACGGGAAAGAGCTTTCTTATGGCTACTTGCAGCCTTGTTTTGTTGATGTTATACGAGTGTGGACGGTGCAGCATTTTGGGAGAGGAGATGGTTTGAGTGTTCTTTTTCCTTTGGTTACTGATGAAATTCGTGTCTGCTTCGAGCAAGAAAGGTGTGGGATTGATTATTTGGCTGGTGTTGTGGTTGTGGAGACTTTATTGCTTAGTTTGAGCTTGAAGGTTCAAGTGGATGGGTCACCAAGGCTGGACTTACAGAAGGAGCTTACACTCTGGGCCATCAGTTCGATATCTGTGTTTCAGAATTGTGTTTCATTTGGTAGGTCTTTCTTACCTATGACTGAATTCACAGACCTGTACAAATTGTATTCCCTTAGATTTTTTAGCAGAATTATCAATGCCATTAGCAATTTGGATAGTTGCATATTCTATCAAGATATGCTAACTGTGCATTTTAATTTCGAATTATTTGTTAATGCAGTTCTTATTTATCACTGATTGGATTTTTCTGCTTCTGTTGATGGTACAAGTAAATTGCTATAAGATGTAGGTGTTTGGCACATGATCCTTGGCTAATATATGCATATGCATGTGTGTGTATAAACAGCTGTGCATTCTCTTGGCCATTATATAGAGAACTCGTGACTTTTCTCTAATGAGTAGCTTTGCCAATTTTTTGCTATATCAGCTAGCTCTATAGAGATTGCCTATCTTTATTGTGCAATTTGGTTCTGACATCTGAGTGTTGATAAACAGACTTATTACTGAGGCTGCTGTTGAACCTACCAATGCCAGTTATGACCATTTTGGTGAGTATATTAATCAGAGACTTGTACATTGAGTTGCAATGATATAATCAGCATTAGTTCATTCACTCAAGCAGCTGCTTACCAACATAAATGCATCTGATAGTTCTATTCTGCTTCATGAATGTGCTAAGGATTGTGGACAACTTCAGGTATTATTTGAAAGAATCATTAGTGATTGATTCATGTGCATATAGATCAGCCACATGAGACAGATTGATCAAGTGAACCTATTTTGTAAAGTCACAAACTTTTCTCCTAACCTCACCATGAGGCCAATGCTCACCTTCTGGATTCTGTGAGATAATTGGTGAGCTGGTTATAAATGATTATGTTAGTGGTGCAAAAGTATCTGATTGTAGAATTCTATGGATGTGCTTTAGAAATAATTAAGAGGGCTGGGTCCTTGGTCACACTCTTTGTTATGTAAAAATTCTAGAAATATGTTCTATATCTACTTTTGAAGTTGCTGCAGCTCCTATATCATCATGTGAGCAATAGAATTTTCCCTTGCTTGTACATTTTTTTTTCCCTTGAATATAGCAGCAGTACATATTCTTTATCATGCATGGGTTCTGATTTGTATTTTTTTTCTTTAGTAGGTTCAAATTTTCTTTTCATATGCTTATTTCTAAATGTAGACAATATCCTGATATTAGTGTTTTTTGGCTCAGAGCTCTACTGAGGAAAGCTGGCTAAGAAATATCCTTTACGATGCTGTTATTTTAGCGGATTATTCTTTCTTAAATCCGGGAGTTGAAGTAGAACATTTTAGTGATTCTATGATGAATCTTGTTGTGAGAAGATTGATTGTTACTCATGAAGCCATCCGAATTGTCAGGTGAGGGCATTACTTTAATGAGATGGAAGGATATGAGAGTAGCACAGTGCTAAAATTCATTATGATAACAGGGATAAAGGAGATAACCGCCAAGCCATAGCCTATACAAATGCATTTTCAGCATCGTGTGTTCCCAGTAGCTTAATTAAGTGGGCTACTTATCAGGTTGGCTTGGGGAAACTTAATAGACCAAATGCTACTACACCTCAAGCTCTTCTAAGTACGTACCTAGAATATGCATATTCTTACTTGAGACTGACAGTAATGAATGGTCTTTTATTCCTTATGAAATCATTTGTTCATCATGCAGCTATCTCTTACTTGCAGAGTGGCTTGTGGTTCTTGAAGAACAGGGATTGAAACTTTTTGATGATAACATTTCAGAACTTCATAGCAAGTTGACTATCAAGGAATATGATGGCATGCCTGAAACTGCAAAGTTTGATTCAGGCAGCAACAGCACAGATGGAGATATTTTCTTTTTTGATAACACAGGGAACGTTGATGAGAATGCTGCAGATGATGATCAAGACATGGAAATAACGGATTCTGCATTTCAATCTGCTGCTCGGTCTATGAAATCTGAGGCAAGCAAAGGGAGGAGGAAAAGGAAAGAATGGGGTTATGAAGGAGATGAATCACAAGTGAAGTTTGTCAAATATAAGATCCATGACAACTCAGTCAAAGAGCATTTGAGCACTCGGGCAGTAGATCGTATGAGCAGTGATAGTGAGACGGAGAATCCACCTTCTCCAGATGAGATGGAAGAATGAGATGGACAGAGCTGAGATTTGAGCAACAGCGTTGGTTCCATCCTTTTGTTAGATGTGTCATTTCGCTGAAACATGTAAAGAGGGCTGAGAGCATTGCTTATAGCCTTATGCTTAGTGTACTTGTTGAGTAGGGGCACAGCCTTCTTTAAGGCGATACTTTTCATAGTTATTGAGAGCAAGCTGAGCTTGTAGGAGACAATGCAGCCTGTTTTGTATATGGCTTATGTTTCGGATGATTTCTCATCTCACTTTCGAAAAGACTTGAATGGGAATCATCAGCAGTCATGTTTCCATTTTTTGACGTGTCTTACATATGCGATCTCTCTGTGCTAGTAAGGGTACTGTATCGATAGATTTCATGGGTGGGTAGCCCTATCTCATCGATCAGGAGAGGAAAACGTGGCATGTTGACATTGGTGGAGCCAATTAACTGGCATCCTACTTTAGATTTTTGATGAAGTGGCAAATAAAATCCAGGAAGCAGATATCTAAAGGTTCTGAGACTGACAACTCAGCATCCAACTCAAGCGAATGCAAACCATCAACCAATAGGAACAGCTTACAACGATTCACAGTGAGATAAGGAGCATGACACTGCTCTATAAGTTGCAGCCGTTCCTCTCCACTCTGCCACACCAGCAGCAGGCAAGCAACCTCGGTCATCCTCCACCCCCAGAACCTACTAGCTCCAGCAATGGCTGCCACGATGGCCCTCTCCTCCCCATCCCTCGCGGGGAAGGCGGTGAAGCTCGCCCCCTCGGCCTCCGACGTCCTGGGGGAGGGAAGGGTGACCATGCGCAAGAGCACCGCGAAGGCCAAGCCCGCGGCGGCCTCCGGCAGCCCCTGGTACGGCCCCGACCGCGTCAAGTACCTGGGCCCCTTCTCCGGCGAGCCCCCGTCCTACCTCACCGGCGAGTTCCCCGGCGACTACGGGTGGGACACCGCCGGGCTGTCGGCCGACCCAGAGACCTTCGCCAAGAACCGGGAGCTGGAGGTGATCCACTGCAGGTGGGCCATGCTGGGCGCCCTGGGCTGCGTCTTCCCGGAGCTTCTGGCGCGCAACGGGGTCAAGTTCGGGGAGGCGGTGTGGTTCAAGGCGGGCTCCCAAATCTTCAGCGAGGGCGGGCTGGACTACCTGGGCAACCCCAGCTTGATCCACGCCCAGAGCATTCTGGCCATCTGGGCCTGCCAGGTCATACTGATGGGCGCCGTCGAGGGGTACCGCATCGCCGGCGGGCCGCTGGGAGAGGTGACGGACCCGCTGTACCCCGGCGGCAGCTTCGACCCGCTTGGCCTGGCCGACGACCCGGAGGCGTTCGCGGAGCTGAAGGTGAAGGAGATCAAGAACGGGAGGCTGGCCATGTTCTCCATGTTCGGCTTCTTCGTGCAGGCCATCGTCACCGGGAAGGGTCCCTTGGAAAACCTGGCCGACCACCTGGCGGACCCCGTGAACAACAACGCATGGGCCTACGCCACCAACTTCGTCCCGGGCAAGTGAGCAACCATAGTGTCGGTTTGTCACCACCACCACCATCACCATCACCACCATCTCGTTAGGCTTCTCATGATTTGAGATGTCTTGTATCCCATGTACTACTCTACTCTACTCAACAGTATGTTC